TGATATACTAATATTTAGTACTGTATAATAATGTCACATCATGATATAGTATTTTCATAAAAGACTAAACCAAATATTTTGGCTAGTTTACCACTTCATTGGAGAACTTCTTACACTAAAACTATTGACATAACGTCTTACCCAAAGAAAAAAAATTGTAGTAGAAGGATTTTTCAAGATTTGTAAGAGATTCTTTTGAAACTTATTAATCCTCTTATTATAATATTGAGTAATTAGGATTTACTTTTGCAAAACAAAAGTTTTTGTTCTATTTAGTGTATAGCATAATAAAGTATGGCAAGCAGTTTACAAAAAGAAAAAAACATTATAAAAGTATGATAACATAATTGACAAAGAAGGATAACAAATAATAATAATAATAAGCGAATGTATAAGATAAAATACAACCTTTTAAAAAGAAAATATTACACTCAGAGGTAGTTTCAAGATTTTATTAACATGATAAGGCAGTTATCACTACAAAGGTAGTTTTTCCTAACCAAGCTCTCTTCCTTGTCACAAACAAACTAAATTAGTCCACTTGTCTATTATTTTAGTTAAATTTAATATAGTCAGTTTCTCTTTATTTAATATAAGCTATCACCAAGAAACAAAACAAAATACATCACGTCTCTTTCTTCTTCATCTTCTTCCTCTTAAGTTTTCAACCATTTTTTTTGTAAAATTAAATCTGTTTTCGTAATTTTCTTCTTTTTAAAAAAATTTTAAGCAATTATTATATCTATTATTATGTCTATCTTTTGAGATATATCAAGCTATATTTTCAAGGATGGTGAAATGTCATATACACAATGATGTCAGTGCCAGATAACGATTAAGGCTTCAACCAGGGTGTCTTCGTCTCCTCCTCTCTGTGCTCAGCTCCTCCGTCCAAGATGCCATCAATGCGAGGTCTCGTCCACCGGTGGCCATTATTCTTCGTCGCGTCTCATCAACATTAGCTTTTTCACGTCGCAAGCCCAAGACCTCTCCACTTTCAAAATCATGTTCACAGCCTTTGCCGTGTCTATGTTCCATCGTAGCCGACTCTTCGTTGTCGTTAACGAGATCCGGAGAGAAATGCGATCTGCAACATCAAAGGAGGAATGTCACCTTTTTGCACTTTTGATCCTCTAGTTTCATGTTTCTTTTACAATATGCCTCAAAATTCTAATATGATCAAATTGCTTCACAAATTTACCACAATACTTTTAATCTCATCAAATTGCTTCACAAATCAATATCATATATGTACACATGAGTGGTTTTATATGTACACATTGATGTACATATGAGTGGTTTTATATGTACACATCGATGTGTACATAGATATTTTGGTATCTAATATCTATGTACACATGAGTGGTTTTATATGTACACCGCCGCAGTCTTTATTATTCTCCATGGGACTTCTCTTCTACGGTGTCTCAAGTCCGGTGGGAGCTTCTTCGTCATGCCCTATGCTACGTCTTTGCCATGATCTTAGCCTCTTTCCATAACCTCCGGTGGACCATAAAGCGTTGCCACCATTGCATCGATTGCATCGAAAAATAACATAAGTTCACTAGGTCATATTGACTCAGTTTTTATATCAGATTGACTATACAAATTACAAAAGTGTAAATCTGTGTACAAAAATTATTTGGTATTCATGTATTATTGTACAAATCAATTGGTGTACATGCGAATTACGTACACATGGATGGAAAAAAATTGTGTACATGGTATAGTGTATACATCAATTAGCTTTTAAAGTTACAATTTGTTACCATATAAATATTGTAAGTTGTAAATATACCTAACAAATTTAGCAGGTGTACATTTGAATCTTTGCAAATAAATCTAAATATTGTCTGGTGTCCATATATTATTGTACAAATTAATTGATGTACATGTGAATCATTGTACATGTGGACATAACAAAATTTGTGTACATGGTAGTACACGCCAAATGGCTTTTAAATTTGCAGTTTCATTTTTATGCATTTTTAAAAATCTTATTAGTGTGTTCATGTTATTTTTAGAAGTAATTCACTTTTCTTTCGACTGCCAATATACGTGCTACATGAGAACTATGCATCAATAATTAATAATGAGATATCCATCGACATTTTTATTAAACTCATTTGGCTCATATCTCATATATTCTATATCATAAACCTAGAAAGAACAAATTTTCTATATATTAAAGAATAGAAACATCATTTTGGATTGGATATTAATTTTGTTATGGAAGTAAGATTTTTGAATTTTTTTCTTGTTCTACAAAGAAATATTTTCTACATATTCATTGTACTCTTAATATTCTTGAATATCCTAGAAAATAATTTTTGGGAACAAATGAAGTATTTTACAATTTTAGCTAAAATAAGCATTTTTCATTTTTTAAGCACAAAATTGTATTTTGTTTTAAGATGTAAATTAAGATTTATGGTTTTCGGCAAAATATTATATTTGGTTTTTGACGATGTGTTTTATAGTGTGTACATATGAATCATTTTCCTAAATGGGCGGGTGTACATATAAATCATTGTACACGTGGATAGTAAATTATGTGTACATAATATCATGTACATATGAATATATACATATATCACAAAACAATGTACACAATAAATTTCTCTACTCCAATGTTATCGTTTTAATGATATTTAGTTTTTAATGATATTTAGCATCTCATTTAGCTTATTTATTTAGGTTCAAATGAAAAATGTTTATTTGCAAGTCAAAAACATATGGGACATAAACAAAATAAAATAATACTACTGAGACTAATGGTGCAAAAACAAAGAAATATTTATTTGTTCTATATTGTACAATTAAAAGTCACGGCTGAACTAATTAAAAGTTTTAGACAAAATTGAGAATATGAAAGAATGGGAGGACCATAGTTGCAAATTCAAAAATTCTCCATTGTTGCTCCTATAAAGTTTTTTTTTTATCTGCAACTGAAGCCATGAAGATTCTGGTGGCCACAACTCATGTCCCGAGCATAAAGACCACGGCGAGAAGGAGACTGGACTTTGAAGCGGATTACGGTAGTGATTTGTCGGAATTTTGAGTTTAAGTCCACGGACAACGGAGCTCTCCGGCTGCTCCATCATGTTTTCTCTTTGGAGTATCCAGTGCTCCACGACTGAAATCATGGCGATTCTTGCGGCCACAACTCTAGTCCCAACCACGACGGAATAGAACTCACGATTTAGGGGCGGTCACGTTTTTTACGGATGCTCTGTCACCTCCATATAACATATTTATCTTGAGTTCTATAACCTACAAGCCAAAAAAAGAGTAGGAGGTTGATTGTTTTGGGTTTTTGGATTAGTTTTTGGTTTTTGTGTTCCCAAAAACCATTTTTTTCCAGTCAAGTTTTTTTGCAAAATGTTTTCCTAAAACTTAGGGAAACTAGTTTTTAAAAAAACTGTCAATTTCTAAATAGAAACCAAAAACCAACTTTTTGTAGTTTTTTGCTTAACAAAGAATTTTACATTTATATTTATTACAAACAAAAAATTCGTGATCCAATATACGTAAGTTTTTCAACTAACCAACACACATATTAATTGAGCCATGAGCACATATCGCTTAAGGAATTTTACATATTACTAATCAACCTAGTAAGTTTTTGACATCCTATCAAAACAAAGCTTTATTGTAATAAAAACTGTTATAATATTTAAAATATTATTTTCTCTAATAATAAAATGATGTAAACTAAAAAACGCATATAAAAATTTTAAATTTATCATTAAAATAAATTTACAATTCTGAAGTTAGTCATTACAATATATATATATATATATATTACTGATATATTTAAAATTCTATATCTATGAGATTCACATTAGTTTTATTTAAAAATATTTTATTAAATAACTTACATGTCCTTTTGATGATAGTACTTTATTTTTTTATTTATTCAAAAAAGTATTAATATTTTCTTCATTTGATTATTTTTAAAAGCAAAAATCAAAAACTAAAAACTAAAATCTAAAACAACCATTCATGTTTTTTGAAAAACTAAAATCTACTACAAAATCAAAAACCAAAAACTAAAAACCAAAATCTAAAAACCAAAAACTAAAAACCAAAAACCAAATCTAAAAACTAACAAAACAATCATTACCTAGATCTTGTGTTCTATAACCTTCGTAAAAAAAAGAGTAGATCTTGTGTTCTATAACCTCCGCTAAAAAAGAGTAGATCTGATTAAAAAAAACTAACCTCCGTCACCTCTTACAATTTAAAAAGAGTAGATCTGATTCACTTAAAATTTTTAAATTCAAATATACAAAAAAAGAAAGTAACTAAATCAACAACTAGGTTTCTTATAGTTGGGGTTAGTGTTGTAATTAGCCTTCAAAAATTACCCTAGTAGCACAAAGTGTTTTATAGTGTAATAAAAACTTGAAAACTACCTTTGAGTGTTACTAATTCTTTTAAAAACAACCCTTGAATCCAACATAAAATATAAAGTATTATTATAATTTATATGCAGAAAAACAGAATATATTTTTCAGAAAAAAAGGAAAAACAGAATATCTTTTAACCAAGAATCTGAAAATTTGTAAACAAAGAGAAGAAAACTGACTTGTTTTGAAATGCACCCGTCTCCTCGACAATTCGTTTATTGCCCAGCGGTTAAACTCTCAATCACGCCGCCAGATAAAATAATTTAATACTGTAGACAATAAAATAAAATCTACCACTTTTTAGCAAAAGGAGTATTGGAACAAGAAAAATATTAAATACAAATTCACAGCTTAAAAGAAAAAAATCGAAAATACTCAAATGTGTGTCATGTCTTCTCCTGCAACAATTTACGTTCTGACCCATTTTCAATCACCGAAAACTGCAACTTCTCTTCTCCCTCGTTCCTCCCAAAACTTCCACGCCTCAGTCTCTTCTTTATTTTTATTTTATCCTCACAACCTCCTTTTCTTTAACTTTCTCTTTGACTTAAAGCTTACTTTTCTTAGTTTCTAGGTCTTCTCATTTCAATGGCTCCACTACCTCTCAACCCAAAAGCCCCTGAATTCTATCCTAAAACTCGAGTTCAAGAACTCTCACAAGAACCGAAATTTCTTTCATGCACCACTTTCAGTATACTCTGGCAGCCTCAGCATTTCTCGTGTTACAATCGCAAATGTCTCCCTCCGAGACTCTTGAAGCAAAAGGTTTGGATCCACAAAAACCGAAACTTTTCGCCAAGAAAACCTGTTCCTCCTCCAAAAGAAACTGAGCTCAAAGCTCTTCCTTCTCCGCAAGAAGCTGAGCTTAAATCTCCGTTTGGTGACAAAACTTCTGTTATGATTCGAAACATTCCAAACATATTTGGGTCAGTTTTTAGTCTCAAAATCCGGTTTTGTAATGTATATCTTTATTATTGCGAATGTCTGAAAAGCGTTTTTATTTCTGTTATGGAAGGCGAAAGGATCTTCTGAGGATTCTGGACAATCATTGTCGTAGAGTGAACAATGTTCACCAACAAACTCCTTCTTCCTATGACTTCCTTTATTTGCCGATGGATTTTGTGTAAGTAAATGCTATAACTTTCCTTTTTTGATTAAGTTAATTAGTATTAAATGCGTTTTGTAACTAGTTGTTAAATTTATTCATTGTGCAACAGAGGATAATGATACACTTTCTCGGATTTTCTTGAGATGTTGAAAAAGTTGATCAAATCCCTAATTAGTATTTTCCTTAAAAGCTGGGTTTTAAATTAACGAATTACTGTTTAGTTATGCAGTAATTTGATACAAAAAATAGTGGTATCAACATCAAGTCTTTTTTTTTTTTTGCTTTGGTCACTTTAGTTATGAGTTAATTTATCAACTTTAACTCGTAAACTCGTTCTTCCTATGACAATTTTTTTGTGGAATAGGAAACACGCGAATTTAGGTTACGCTTTTGTGAACTTCACGAGCTCAGTCGCAGCTGAGAGATTCCGGAGAGAATACGACAATTTCTTTTGGGTTGGCTTTGGGTACAAGAAGATTTGCGAAATCTCTGCAGCTAAGTATCAGGTTTGGCTCTCTTTTCTTTGTTGCTTTACTAGTTGTTGCTACTTATTTAGAGTTATTATAATGTTTGATTTTATTATAGGGGAAAGAAGAGTATGCACAACATTTCAAGGACTCAAGGTTTCCTTGCCACACCGACCACTATCTTCCGGTTGTTCTCTCCCCGCCTAGTGATGGTTTCACAGGTTACAGTCTCACAACCCTTGGATACAGAGTCAGCATACGTGGCCGTGGCACACGTCGTGGCATCCAGGTCGCTTGATCTTTTAGGGTTTCGTAAAAGGAGAGGATCCTTGTTTTCATTCATCTCCCGATGGCGTGACGTCACGACTTGGGTGAAATGGAAACATAGCTTTTCTCTTCTCTGTGTTTCGATCTCTCGCCTAATTAGTTTGCTACTTAATTAGTACCACTAGTTTCCCGTTCTGATTTCGTACAATGGTTATTTAGTATTTGGTTATTGAAATTATGTACTACTGTTTCTTAGTCATCGTGCAATGGTTATTTTATGTTTGACTTTACAACATTTCTATTGTTCTTGCTTTTCAATATTTAGCCGCGCGCCTAGACACCTTAGACACCTAGGCGTCCGGTTAACGACTGATCAGACATTACCCACAGTGATTTTAACCTAATCGACTAATAAAATTAGTAACTGATTACTCAACCCGTTAACTTAATTAATCGACTCAATATCTAATTACTTGATTATTACCGATTAATCGACTCAATTAAATATTAAATGGGCCTAAACCTTTTACTAATAAAATAGTTTTTCTTCAGTAAGCGATGTGGAACTTTTGTCCATTGACACAATAATACGAAAATAAATAAATTGCATTTTATGCGAGGGGTGTCGAAGTCGGGTTGTTTTGGCATAATAACAAGGGTCTCAACCATTTAGAAACAATGATATCTTTGTCTAATTACGCATATGCTAATATATATACATAATCATATACATATAATAAAAAATAGAAAAATTAATCTCTGATTAATCTTCGATTTATTGTCTAGGTGCTATGCCCTATCCGAACGTCCGACTAGCGTCTAACATGTTTTTAAACACTGATATTTAGTCGTTTATTATTTGCTTTTTTGTTTTAAATTTAAATATAAAATATAATATAAATTTATTGTAGAATAATTTTATATTATCATAGAATGACAGATAATACATCAAAGAAAGTGAAAGAGTTTTCTCCAAGATGAAAGAAAATGGGAAACTAAACTGTAATAGGTGTACGGGTACCTAATGGTACTTTATTATTTAGATCTTCTTGTAGAATTATTATGCGTAAGTGTTAGTTCTGGACAATCCACTTGAATCAATTGATTTACTTTATAATTTTGATTAATTATTTGTAAATTAGAAATTTATATTTTACTAGTTTTTTATTAATAATTTTAATAAAATATAACAAAAAATTGGTTATGGGTTTAATCTTTTTTCATATGGTTCACCGCACACTGAAGTTAAGATAAGTATTTATTTTTTATAATTTAGAGATTATTTTTGTCCAAAATCTTTGAAAGTCATGTGTGTAGTGTTCACTTTCCCAAAAATGTTCTTTTGTGTAAGTATGTGTTACATAAATGTTCATTCTTGTTGTCTTCTCTCTGGTGGAACTAAATTTGATTTGTTTTTAGTATCCATCCCATATATGCATTTCTGAATGAAAAATTAATTGATTTTAGTTTATAAATCTGTCATTTTGGGTCCAATTGGTAATGGCTGTATCTTTAAAAAATTTGCTGTAAAAAAAAATTCTATAGACTTTTAGCTGTGGTTCTAGATTTTATTGTTGTAGAAATTTATAAAAAGCTCTAAAAACTGCTGTGAATATTTGGCTCTACAAAACACTTGTACAGCTATAGATTATTTTAAGAACTGTGATTTTAAAAAAATAATAAAGCTTAATTACTTTAAATTTGATACTATAGAAATTAATGGGGCTGTAGAGAGCCACCTACAACAACTATCAATCACATCCTTTGTTATTTTCCGATGATGCGTTACTTATAATAATTGTGTGAAACAATCATTAATTTAATTGTTTCTTCAAGCCGATAAAATCTGTTGTGGATGATAAAATTTGATGTGGCTTAGCGAACCAATATTAGACAGAAGTCACAGAACAAGTTAAAATCCTCATGGTTGAAACAACATGTTCGAACTATATATTGACTAATAATTTCTCAAGTACCTATAATAAGTTTATGCTTCCTTCAAACTATCACTATTTTGGTTAAGCGAACTTCTCTTACTTATTTCTAAATTTAAGTTCGTAAAACTCTCTCCTTTCCAAATTAAATAGGAAGAAACGCTTAGGCTTAATCAAATGTTTCAGGAGTATCGAAAACAGTTGTGAGAACAACAAAATCATGTTATATGAGCATGACATACAACATACCTATTACAATTAATTATTGTTCATTTGAGTAATATGTTTTTATATTGAGAAAATGACTAAAATAGCACTAAAATTTTTTTTTATCACAAATATAACACTTAAAAATAAAAACGACTAAATTAGCACTTAATATTTTATCAAAAGAGATAAATATACACTTATATCTCAATGATAAATTAATTTAGACATTAGGGTTTAGGGTTAAGAGATGGGATTTAGGGTTTAGGGTTTAGAGTTTAGGGTTTAGGATTTAGAATTTCGGTTTTAGGATTTAGAGTTGGGGAGTGGAGTTTTGGAGATAAGATTTCAATTTTTGAAAATAAAAAAAATTTTAAAATTTTCAAAAAATAAAATACTATTGTGGTCATTTTAGTTTTTGAAGGTTATTTTTGTGATATAGGACTTGATTGGAAAGAGATATATCTTTATTTTTTTTGCTGTAGAATTAAGACTGTAGATTTTTTTGTTGTGGCTGTAGATAATTTTGCTGTATGATTTTGGCTATAGATTATAAAATATTTAATGATTTACATATAAATTTTCCAAGTAAAAAACAAGTGCTATAGATTTATTTCTTTCTAGAGAAAATAACAAAGAAAAAGAGAAAACAAAATCTGTAGCTTTAAAATATCTGTAGCTTTAAAAAATCTGTAGCTTTAAAAAATCTTTAGAAAGCATGATTGGAAAACATTTATGCTTTAGAAATAATTTAGGCTGTAGAAAGATTCTAAAACAATTTCAAAACACTTGCTAATCATCCCTATAAACTTAAAAATGTGTTATTTTGGATATTTGCCCTTTTATTTTTACAGATCTAAATCGTAACATCGATTATAATGGCCATGATATTACACCAAATAAATCTCGTCATGGTGTTATTTCACCTTTTTGTTTAAAAGTATGGAACTTCGCATAGGGAGTTCACTTTTAGTTCAAAAAAGGGAGATCACTTCTACTCTATTAAAATATTTAATAGAATCCTTCTTTTTATCTACTAATACAAGTTGTCATTTAAATTTGGACCATTTATAGAATGTTACAAATAATACAAGCCATATAGTTAGTTGAGCCGCATTACTTAAATTAAACCGGTGGTTATTTATGGGATATAGTGTTGGGTTTACTTTTGTTTTTAAAACAAATTATATGGCTTAGTTTTTGGGCTTAGTATTAATGAAAAGCTCTAAAACTAATGAATAACCTTTCCACCTTAATGGATAAAAAAAATCAATTATTATTTTCAAACCCAAAAGGTATTTAATATTTTTAACAAAACAAAATTGTCTATTTAATATTTTTAACAAAATTGAAGGTTTTTCCCCCAAAGAACAAGCGAGGGATTGCTCCCGACGAATAAGGAAACCTCCAAGATTTAGGAAGTTGCCCTAGATTTTTTCTTTTCTCTCTCTCTACCACCGACGCCTCCATATAAAAAACCTATCTATCTATTTTATTATTCTCTACACTAGTTTTACAAGAGACCTAGACTTGTACTTGTGATTTGCAACTTGTAAGGGAGAAGGCTCCGATTCTCACACGAGAAGACTATCCTGAACCCTTGTCTTTCTACTTTATTTTCTATCCAGTATTATTCAGAAATCATGTCTGTGTCATCTTGCCTAATGATTGAGTAGTTGGCTAAGCTTGCTTAGGGTTTTTAGGGTGTTGTTCGCATGAGCTGAATATAGATAAGCGATATCATTGGTTCTTCATTCATATTGTTCTTACTGCTTGCATTAAATTGATCACTTAATGTCAGATCTTAAGCTTAATCACCTAGCTAACCATGCAGGAGATAACTTGATATATATTGAATGAGCTTAGCATCTGATAAGGGTTTTTAAGCCTTAGAGCAAATCAATGTAGTAAGGTTAGTAGAGTATCAATCCAATCCTGAGTGCTAATGAACAAAGAGAATGTAAGTCATTGTATTAATTTAAATGCAATCAAAGGGAGTTGTTTTATAAGGTAGCAAGTAACTAACAATGTAAGTAAACAAGAATAACTAAGCTTTGGTTTCAATCAGATAAAAGAACATATGGATAAGGTATTGATTTTGAGTGATCAAGCTACTCTCTAGAGTGAGGTTTCAAACAATCAATCATATCCTATAGGTCTAGACACAATCCTAAGTATTCCTTTGTCAAAGCAAAAGTTCCTTTGCTATCAATCTCTAAACATCAATTTTCTTTGGTCTAAATCAATCAAGCAAGCATTGAGAACAAGTCTAATAACCATCTAAGCATCCCTAGCATCAAATGTCCTTCACTAAACAAGCAAAAAGCATTAATACTTTGTTCAAACATTTTCACAAACACCTTGTGGGCAAGAAATGTCTAATGATCTAGAATAGAAGGTTATCTCTAATCTAGCATTGGGAACAAGTAATAAGCATAGAATAAGAAGGATCTAACACTAATCACCATAGATCATTACTTAATCATCCTAATCATCCTAATCCATAAGCTCAAAAGAGAATCTACTCACTAATCTTTATGTTTAATCCTAAACCCATGATGGATAGAAGATTAACCATGATTGGAAGATGTGATAGATTCAATTTATAATTAAGGATTCAATTTTCCCAAATGTGTTTTGTTTAGAGAAAAGAAGATAAGTCCCAACTTTGGGATACAAGAGTATTTATATGGGGCTTGGAAACCCTTAAAAAACATAAAAGAAATAACCAAAATAGCCCTGGAATAACATAAATTTTGACCAAAACAAGTTCACACCCGGGAAGAAACTGCTGGTCCGACCCGGGTGGTCCAGGCTGGGTGCCTCGCCCTTCTCCTCTCGTCATGGGCGAGCGGGCCTTCTACCCCGGGTGGTTCCTGAAAGCCTCTCC